ATGCTGAGGAAATAATCCAAGAAGCTGGACTATATGAAGAAGTATGTGACATCAGGATTGGAGGAAGACTCATTAACAACCTGCAATATGCAGGTGACACAACCTTGCTTGCTGAAAGTGAAGATGACTTGAAGCACTTACTGATGAAGATTACAGACTACAATCTGCAGTGTGGATTATATCTCAACATAAAGAAAATGAAAATCCTCACAACTGGACCAATAAGCAGTATTACAATAAACAGAGAACAGATTGAAGTTGTCAAAGATTTCATATTACTTGGTTCCACAATCTACACCAATGTAAGCAGCAGTCAATGCATCAGATGATGTATTACACAGGGCAAATCTGCTGCAAAAGAGCTCTTTAAAAGTGCTGAAGAGCAAAGATATCTCTTTGAAGACTAAGGTGCACTTAACCCAAACCATGGTATTTTCAGTTACCTCATATGCATATGAGAGCTGGATGATGAATAAGGAAGTCTGAAGAAGAGTTGATGCTTTTGAGTTGTGGTGTTGGTGAAGAATATTGAAGGTACCATGGACTGCCAAAAGAACTAACAGATCAGTCCTGGAAGAAATGCAGCTGGAATGCTCCTTGGAAGCAAGAATGGCCAGACTTCGTCTGACCTACTTTGGTCATGTTGTCAGAAGGGACCATTCCTTGGAGAAGGATATCATGCTTGGTAAAGTGAAGGGTCAACAAAAAGAGGAAGGCCCTCAACAAAATAGATTGACACAGTGGCTGCAATGATGGGCTCAGGCATAGCAAGGATTGTGAGGCTGGCACAGGACCAGTCAGTGTTTGGTTCATTTGTACATAGGGTCGCTATGGGTCGGAGCCAACTTGACGGCACCTAACAACATAACAACAACATATCTTATGAAGTGACATTAGAGGTTTTTGTTTACAGGTGAGAGAACTGAAGCACAGAGAGGTTCAGTCACTTAATCAAGGCAACACAGCTTGTAAGCAGCAGAGCCAGGCTTTGGATCCAGGTCTCCTGACCAACTATCCAGGACTCTGTGTGCTGCCTCCCACGTCATGATTCTGCAGAGATTTGATGTCATTATCTGTTCCCACCCACCCAATTTCAGTACATATGGCTTGGACTTCCCAGAGTAACACAGAGAAGATGGTAGCAAAACATTAGAGAAATTTCTTGATCACTGATGCCTGCTAACAAAGGAACAGATTCAGTCCAGAAAATTAAATTCTTATATTTATTTATTATTTTTGCCAGTGCAGTTTTTCATAGATGTACAACTTATTGACAGCAATTACAATAATCAGCTGTGCGACCCTGCCTTTAATCAATATGATTTTTCCAACAATGCTAATTGTTCTGGTTACCTAGTGCCGTTCTGACAGGAAATATACCACAAATGGGATGGCCTTAACATCCATGGCCTTAACCATGGCAGGCTGCTGAACAACGACATGGCTATATGCAGGGTCCAAGCATGCCATAAGCTAGAGACCATTCTCAAAGCTGCTTATATATGGGAAGCAGACCACATCCCTAAAGAAGCTACTCAGCTGCTTGTGGTAGATCCCACTATGGAGTTGATTGCCAGTCTCATCATGGGGAATAACTATCACCAGCTGCCTAGCCACTCAACCAGGCCCAGCCAAG